AGGATGCCCTGATCCTTGGCAACAGATTTTTCCTGGAAAACAACTACATCACTCAAAACAATGTGACTCACTTTTAAAGTTATTCTTCATTCTATCATCAAACTCATCTTTTACAACTCTGTTTTGCAGATTGGTATCTAATCCAATAGTGAGGCCTTTATTTTACATAGACCTCATTTTTCTATCAGATATTCACATAGAATTTCAGTGTGCCATCAGAAGATGAACTACAACACTAATGCTACTGACTATATGAAATATTCTTCATAATTAATTCACAGAGCACTCTGGAGATGAAGAGTCTGGAGGATGTGTTATGGTCAGACAGTACCCACCAGCACCAAAGAGTTTGACAAGGGTAAGGCAATATTGATGAGTTAACACTCTATTTCGGTACACTCATATTTACTGAGAAATAACAAAATTTATCATTATTGGAATGATATAAAGCATGCTAAAATCACATCCATAAATCTAATATCCATTGCCCAATTATCAGACACCCAAGCCTTCAGTGCTTGGGAACCAGTCCTGCGCTGAGTTTCATGGTCAGACATAGATCATACAACCCTGTGTTCTGCTCTTTTTCTTCTTAACCCCAGATTCCCCCCTCCAGGACAGTCTCTAGTGCCTGCACATTGCCAGATAAATCTGGACACAGACTTTCTTTTGGAACAGAGATTCAATTAAATCCCACTTTCCAAAATGATCTCTACACGCATCTGCGTGCACCTCACCTGTGCTACAAATAACACCTGAAATTGGAAAAGATCGTGAGTGATATTCTTGGCAGCATTAATCACACTGCTTTATTGACATCAACTTGTATTATACTGATCTACACCATCTGGTCCCAAATCTAATTTGCTTTTCACTGCTGACTTGCCAGCGGTTTACTTTCAATATTCTCCCGAGCTAGTGGAATGAGAAAAGACTGGTCTGCTTCAATTTTAATTTGTAGTCCGGCTGCCTCCTGTCAGCTTCACTTCTGCCATTCCTACCCAGCATAAAGTTGCTGTATTTCTTATACAAACATGCCTTACTTGTCCCAGTTAAAAGGAAAGTAATGCTAAACAGAACATGCCAGACCCCCATATTGTGTTTGAGGGAGAAGGATAACATCCCAAAAGTCTGGGTTGGGACACAACTTCCGTGGCCCTGACCTTGGCAGCTGTGGGTTGTGTTTAACTTAGACCGTGTTGAGTTCTGTGTGTGAGACAGATGTCACCTGATGCACCCTTCAACAGCCCTACTGCTCTTTGGGGTTGAGCCTGATGGAGCAGGTTGGCTATCCAGGCTTCACCAATCCCTTTCTGAATCCCTGTCCCATTAACCCACCTCTGAAATGGTCTCTAGCAGCAGCACAGTTCCCTGCCTGTTCATTTTCCAGTTATTTCAGACCTATGAGTGCAGTATTGGTTGATGGGCTCCCAAATTAATGCCTGTCAGTTTATCAGCCCTGGGGAAATTCTATCCATTTTCTGCTGAACACAACAGTTTTGAAAATGGTTTGTGTGAAATATTACTACCCCTTACATGTGAAGTAATAGGATTAGGTCTTTCTATGCATATCTGAAGGGATTTTGAAATAGTTAAAATACATTAACTCAATTTCTTCAGCATTTTTTTACCAAAAAAACAACACACCTCTATTTACTGATATATAATTGCTAAATCTAAAAGTAGACCTGTTTTTCAAGGCTAACTCAACCTCCTTCTTATGAATCTCCATCTTCCTTTGGCTGCAGTTATGTGAGATGACAAGTTTATGATCCTCAGTACATTCCAATTCTCCTTCTCTGGGATATTATTAGCCCCTTTGTTACAGAGTCTTTCCTGTCAAAATGAGCTCATAAGAGTTTGAGCAAACTGGATCATCTTTATTAAAGTGAGTTAAAATCAGGAACAGCCCCATGAGGGGCTCTATGGAAAGGAGCAGGGGATAGACACCTCTTCAGCTCACAGACTCCAGCAGAAAACAAACTCAGAAAATGGGTAGATTTGTGGGGATCTTAGAGCATGATTCATCTCCCAGTTCCACCTTCTGCTTGCATGGGATCTTTTCCATTTCATCACAGCCTCCCAAGCCAACCTCTGCTCCCACCAGTCAGTCCTGGCAGCAGGGCTCATTTAAAGAATGGGTAGGAAAGGCCATGCCCACATTACCCTCACAACACACCAGTCTCCAGGACTGGGAAGGGGTGCCAAACCTGGCCCAGAAACAAGTTAATTCTCCCACCCACTGCTGGGCTGATGCTATGCAGGCAAGACAAGCCACAAGCAACTCCTTCTAAATCCAAATAAAAGCAGGAGATGAAATCAGGGGCTGTGAAATCCTGCCTCAGGGACCACCCCTCTCTCCAAAAGAGCATTTACAGGCTACCCAGGCATCAAGGAATTTCAACATGAATGGGCTCCTTGGCTGCTCCCCACCTGCTCAGCTGGCAACATAACTTTGAACTTAACACCAGCTCTGTGAAAGACTGAATGGTCATATCCCACAGTGACAGAACCTGATAAGCAGCATCAGTGAGTTTGCCTTCAGCTCAATTATTCATGCCCCAGCTAAAATAACTCCTAATCTTTGGGCCATCTACTAACTAAGCATTACCCAGTAAACTCTGACCCTATTACACTGCACTCCAGGGAAATTTATTTCTGACAACAGTTTAGAACCATCTATGAGTTGCCTTTAGCCTTTTGAGTTTAGAGACCACACTAAAGCCTTTCCAAGACTACAGGGTATACACTGCTGTGATTTGAAGACAGAGAAAAGCAGGTCAAAAATCCCATGTCTGAAAGGGAAAAGAAACACTCCGAGGGAAATCAAAACCTAACACTGAATAGCAATTAAGTGAAACTGGTCTATCAGTCTTTTCTTGGCCCAGCTAAATCAAGTGTGGCCTTAACAACTATATGGCAACTACTGAGTAAAGCAAACCTCACATTAAAATTGGGTTCTCCAGAATAATTTGCAGCCTGATTAATTATCACCTTCATTCAGCAAGGTACTTAAACAGCTGAGCAATCCCATTAACCTCCCTAGGACTACACAGGAGATTGATGCTGGGTGAGTGTGTGTTGCTAGACCTTGTGAGGGTTTTGCAGCAAAGAAAAAGTCTGTAGGTTATCCATCCATCTCCCTTGGCCCTCCATCTTGTGAATATATGGGCACCCACATATCTCTGTGCTACAGTATTGCCCTTCCAGTCAAGTAGAATAGATGCCCCTCTGTCTGCAGGTGAGGAGGAAAGGAAGGAAAAATGGATAAAGGAAAAACGTGTGGCTGAAAAGATCTCAGCTGCTCAAGAGGTTTATCCAGCATCAAGGAAGATCTATGGGCTTTACTTCTCTCTCCTAGAGGCAAGATTTCATTTTTAGATTAAAAACTTCAACACCCACTTGCTGTATGTGAACAGCACATTTCTCCCGTGGCTAAAATTGATAGTATGCCATGTGCTGTAAAAGGTTAGCACCAGCACTATTGTAATCCTTGGCCACAACTTTCATTTCCTTAATTTGCTGACACAGGGTAACGGAGGGCTGTGCTATATGAGAGAATACTAAACAATCTGAGTTACAAATTTTCTCTGAATGTCTAAGCTGACCTTTGAAGCTTTCAATAAAAATATAATTTAAAGAGGGGGAGAAAAATTGTTAACATGGAAATGGAATTACAGGAACAGGACCAAATTCATTCCTTTGACTTGGTATCTGCTCATGTTTGATGTCAGCTATGTAATTATACATCACAGCTTGAGTGAAAAAGGCATTTGGTTCCATGCTAAAAGCAGGCCACATATAAATGGTTTATTAACTGGAAAGGAATCAACAGTGCTCAAGTGTGTGGGGACAGCACTTCATTAACAATCTGAGCATCCTCCCTCTCACACAGCCCTGATTTCTCATTTTGGGCTGTTTTACATTACTCTGTGGGAGCACAAAGGGATTTCTGAAGGCCATTTTTATTTAGATCTGCCCTAGGATGCCATGCATTGCTAGAGAGGTGAAATGTGGCTTTTGTGTACACAACAATGTGGCCTGCGGTATTTTAACAAAGAAAATCTTTAAGAGGAGTTGCCAGGGTGAAAGAGAAGAGTTCCTTCATGCTTAGGGACATAGTTTAGTGGTGGACTTGGCAGTGCTGGGTTAGCAGTTGGCCTCTGTGATCTTAAAGGTCTTTTCCAACCTAAACAATTCTGTGATTCCATGATTAATATTCTCCAGAGATCCCAGAGCAGACAGTAGCTGACTTGGATATGCTTCCTCCAAATACCTGTCAATTAGCAGTGCTGCTTCAAGCACAAGGGAAGTGTTTTATGTGTGTGAAATAAGGTCAAAAAAACAGGAAAAACAAGGAAGCCACTCTTGTGGCCCTTGTGATAGACGTGACCAAAAAAAAAAGTGGCTTCATTTTGGACAATAGCGAGAAGAAAGTTGACATGCAGGAGAAGTTGACACGACAATAGTTTCCTCGCAGTAAAAACAGATTTCTGCTCATTCACAGAAAACCTATAAGTCAAGATGTTATTGGATGAACCAAGTAACTGAGAAAAGCATCCACTGGCCTTGAGAGGGAATAACAGCTTGAGAGTCAATATCCCAATCCCTTCCTTTTGGTAAAGGTTAAATATGATCTGCTTCATTTCCATCACAAATTTTGCTGCTGTTCTCCAGTAATAACAAAGCTGGAAAGGGAAAGGAACACATGTAGGACATCACTCAAGCAAGGGTGGGAGCACCAGTGGATTCACTGATCCAAAGCAGCAGTTAATAGCTGTATTCAGTCATTCCAGCACAGAAAGGACCCACCTTTACTGCAAAAACACTGTGTTAGCAAAGCTTAGCTGCTCAAAGCCTGCTGTTTGTCAAATAATTCCCTCTTGGATCACTGGCTACAAGACCCAGCACCACTATCATAACATTTTGAAATATTTTCTCCCAAATCCAACCTGTTGCAGGAGCAATAGAGGAAACACAACTTAAGGAGGGTTACTCACAGACATCCTTGATATTTGCCTTATGGAAGTCCACATTTTGTCACCTTTCCCTAGAACACCACAAGGTGCACATGGTAGCACTCAGCTACAGCAGGTCAAGGTGCTTGATGCAGAGAAAACTCCCTGAAATCATTCCAGTCCAGTGACATATGGCAAGGGATTTCAAAGCTCTGCCATAGTACCTAAGTGCACCACAGCTTGCTGTGTAGCAAGGCAGATTTCCATGGTCCAATGGTAGTTAATTTTCTGAAGGTCAAATTCTACATGTTTATTTTGCCGGGTGCCCTGTGCAATACAAAGACACAGCTATATTAATAGCTGACAAATTAAAAGCTCAGCTCATTCTAAGAGACTGTGCAGGGTTTTGCTCTATTTCATATGTCAGAATGACATTTCATCCCAGAAAAGGCCAGGGCAGAGTCCCAGCACAGAACATCTGGTTGGCAAACACAATGGAGCACAGCACCTGCAAACACGCTCAGTGTTTGCTTTGCAACTATTTGTTCCCCCATCCACAGAAAAATATGCTTTTGGGCTGTCAAAATTCATTCCTTGCCAGGGGAGTCTGGTGTGATAATGCAGCCCGTTTATCTTGGAAAGTTCTCATTTCTGGGCCACGCATGGCTAAGCCAAAATTTCTGGAAGGTGAAAGGGAGAAAACGTTTTCTTCCCTCTTTTTCCTCTCTGCATTTTTTTTTCCTAGTTTTTGCAGCTTTTTAGACATTCTACTGAATGTCTAATGGGATCAGACTGAGCCAAACAGCAGAGTTAAGAAAGAAAATAGATGGATTGCAGCAAGGTCTGTGGTTTAAAATCTATAATCCAGAGGCTAAGGAAGTACAAACAAACTAATAAAAGCAGAAAATTATGAAATCCTGGCCTTAATACCAAGCAAAATTTCTTAACTTAGGGCTCTCCTAATGGCTGAAACCACCACCAAGCTGACTCTAGGGGACAATCCCTCCTCCTGCCAGACCTTCATTTGGAAAGGAGAAACTCCAGGATCCCAGCCAGCCTAAGGTGTTAGTGGGGGAAGGAGGTTTTCAGGAGGAGCAAGGCTGGGGGAATGCAAAAGTCTTATAAAAAGTCCTGCCAAAAAGGAGGTGCAGGATTACAGCTGAAAGTTTAAGATACATTGTGTAGGCTTTGGTCAGTTGGCCAAATTCTCCACCACTCCATATAGGCTGCAAAAATACAACAGGACTGACCACTGAAAGTCTACCCAGTGGCCAGGAAGAATCTTCCAGAGGAGCAGACCTGGATGAAGATGTGGCCAGCACTGTGATGTGTCACAGCCTGGGGAGCAGGGGACACCAAGGTGGAGAAAGGGACAGTGAGGGGAGATGAATGAGCTGGCAGCTGCCAGCCACATCAGCCCAAGACTGATCCAACCAACCATCTCTTCCTTAATTTTATTTTCTGTGTTGTAAGAAGCATTTATTTCCAGTGAAGAAATAATGAACAAATAAACCTCTTTTTTTTTTCCTTCTAATATAAGACAAGCCACATCTGAAAAGTTATTTCTCCTCCTACCCTACTTCTTTAAACCTGCAGGAGTTGCTGACACTTAGTGCCACTAAACACCTGCCTCAGTGGTGGCACAATATCATTACAGGATTACATTCCATTTACAGGAATAAAAACTATGTAGGATATTCCTCCTGGCACAACCACTGCTGTGTGGCCTTCAGCAAAACAGTTCACCCCTTCATATCATAAGCTGGAAAACTGAGTGAGAAATATGAATCCCACCAAAAAAAAAAAAAAAGATGCTACATTTTAGCTGAGATTCTTAATAAGCAACTTACCCATGTTAAATAGGACAGAAATTTTAAGGTATACCAAGAAGGCAAAGCTTGGCAAAGCCTTCTCTCAAAAAGAATCCAGCTGATAAGACAGAGCTATTGAACAAGAGCTTGGGTTTCTCCTTTTCTCTTTATTTCACGTTATCTCACCTCAACAACCCCAACATGGAAGCTACAGCCACCTATGAATGACAAAATTTCCTCGTATACACAGGTAACACCTGCCAGCACAGGGGGGTGAGCAGAGCTCCCTGCAGCCAGCCCCAGCTCATCACAGCACCCATCCCATGGTTTCAACCCATGGCATGGCATTGTCTCTGCTTTGTGTTGGGAGCCTGAGCTCTTCTATGTGGATGGAAGATGAAGGAGAATTCTAAAAAATGCTTACTGGGGCTGCCAAAACGTCATTTGAAATTAGATTCATACTGCAGTTTGCAAAGACTCCCCATCTCAGTAGCCTGTCTTAAGCACTCTTCTAAATAATTGTAGATTAAACAAGGCACAAGTCAGAGCAAAGTGCCAGATGAGTTGTGACATCTATTTTTAATTAAAAATAGCAGTAATTGAAATGTATTTAGCTCCACTGAAGTATTCTGGGCTGGCAGCCTCCAGAAAACATTCAGCAGGGGCAATGAAAGAGCTCAGAGTCATTAAACACTTACCTCCTTCCTGGCCTGCTCCAAACCTACCCAACAAACCACATTGTTACAAACAATGAGAAGATCCATCTAATGCAGTCCTTGGACATCCCACAGAGGCCAATGGCCAGAGTGTCCATTAACAGGCAAGGACAGGAGAAATGCCCTTTTAGCCTTCTGTGTAACCTCTCTTTGTCTCGCCCCTGCTATGCTCCATTCTTCCCATCCTCTCATCCCCAGAGGCTGGAGGAGCTGACTTTTCAATTTCCAGCTCCTTCCTGAGTATATCTGCTGTTTGTCAAGCACAGGCATTAGAGTGCAGCACTCTTTTGTCTTACTCTAGTGAGCGTGTTTTGGAGGTTTTATATGAAAGGCAGGTACATGTGTGCTTAATACAGTCATTTTTCATAGCAAGAAAGACATCAAAAGTGATTAACATAAATCAGATATCATTAATTATATGGACAGACTCCCCAAACTACTGCTGAAAGAAAGATGAAGAGGTAAAATAGTTATCCCTGTAACAGAAATGAGTTAATGATGTATATTTCCTTCTTGTAACATTTTTCAAATTAGAAGTTTGCACAGAATTGCTTTTGACCTGTAATTGAACCATCTTCAAATTCCCAGGGACAGAAAACTTAGTTAAATTCTCAATGCTTCTTGCCTGTATCACGAGAAAGCCAAGCAGCCCTGCTCAGCCCAGGAATTTACATGCTATAACACAGATACAGAGTGAAAAACTGACTTTTCCTGATGCACAGAATTTGCCATGCAAGCAAACTGGAAAAAAAAAAAGCAATTGTAATCAAAATAGCTTATCTGAAACAGACTGCTGATGCAATGAGGGACATAAATTTAAGAGTATCCACTCCTATTGGTAGCACTTTGGTGAACTGACTGTGTTTAACTCTTGAGTTGTGCCATAAAGTGTAACACACAAAGGAAAATCACTAAGCAGATAAAGCAGGACTTACAAACAGTTCCAAATGTTGTGATAAATATATAGATTATTGAATATAGCCTCATAGCATAATAAACCCACATATTTTAGGCTAATGTAAATGCTTATCTATCTCTTCTCTACTATCTATAGGTCCTTGAGCAGAGAGATGCTATAGGTATTTTCATTATGAACCTATGGCAAACAGTCAACAAGAGCAGTTATCCAAGTTTCAAAATTCCCCTAACCTGCATTATTTCCACTTGTGCTTTTAGCTCTCAGTCTCCCAGCCAGACTAAAACCAGCCAAACATTTAAATGTAAACTCCTCAAGATGCCTCATCTCTGTTATTTTCCAGTGAGGTGTGGAAATTAATAAACTCCTGTTTCTACTGGAGCCATGCAGAGAGAGCAAGCTTTCATATCCCAAGCCTCAGGCAAAGCCACCAGAGCCAGCTGGAATTACAAAACCCATGGGCCAGGAGACAAGGTGGGGCAAGAAGATCAGAGTCCTCAAAGCTCACTTTGATTCACACAGTCTAAGGTCAAAATTTATTTCCCCTGCTACGTTGGACACAAATGTCAGCAGATACTTTGGCATCGCTGGCACAACAGAATTTCACTTCTCTGCAGCTGCAGGACAGATTCTTGAAATGATTTGTCTCCCAGAGCAAGTTAATTACCTTAAGAGTCTTTAATGCAAATGGGTAGTGAGGAAGGAGTTCATCACCAGCACATATGGTGTTAGGAGATTTCTGTTTAAAAGGTTCATTTAGGGGGGTAATGGGAAATGGCACACACAAATATACATAAGTAGCACACAAAACAAAAATAGGATAAACATGGAAGATGGAGAAGCAGGAATCCCTGACATTACTGTTGTGCTTATCATTTCCCAAAGGATTCATTCTGATAAATTCCTTTGCCCATGCCTCCCAAGTGATCAGTGTGTGCTTTTTGGGATGACCCCATGTTGACCAGCCCAGGATGGGAGAGAGGTGGCCAAAATCCTGCAGCAGCAGCTGAGGCAGCATCCTTCAGCCAGAAAAATAATAATGTGCATTTCCCCTAGCTTGCTCACCCTTTGCTCCTGCACTCCCAGTCTACACCTCAAGCTCTCAGCGTGGACCTGGAAAATCCTGCAATGATGCCCAAAAATACTGGGGCATAATCTCTCCACCACTTCCTTCATGGGAAAAAATAGATGCATATAAAGGGTCAGAGGTCATCAGAGATCATCACTGATAAGGACATGAGCAGGTCCATTCAACTCCAAGTAATGAGCAAGCCAGCAATGTTAACTCCTTCTCCATTCCTCACTAATGCAGAACTTTTATGACCAAGTGTAATTATAATGAAAAATAACTAATTCCACTGTCTGCAGAAATATTGGAGTAGCACAGATGGTAAAAACATCTTCTTTCCCCCCCCAGGCATGTTACACCTGCAAATATACAAAATTTAAAAACAATGATGGATAATATTAGGTCCTAAAAGATATTTTTCTCATTCCGTTTGCACAAAGAATGAAGCATTGAGCAGGAAATTCACAGTTCTCCATTTTCCAGTGGCACAGGAAAAAGATTATACAGACCCAGCAGTGAAATGCTACCCAGGTCTGTCATTTGACCAGTAGGGAATTCTGATATTTACAGTGATGTTTCAGGTCTGAGCTGTCTAGCCCACTCGGATCACATTCCTCCTGAACTGTCTGCCTTGTTCCCTCCAGCTGAAAGGGCACTTGCTGATCTATTTATGCAGGGCTGACAATGAAGGCAACCA